GAAAAATACCTTTGTTGATAAGAGGTTTTCCACCGGTATTCGGGTGTTGTGGGCAAATGCTGTGAATAGAAGTTATCGCTTCGAGTGTCTGGGTTATGTAGTATGTTATATGGTTGCACCTGAGGTTGCAGGTGTGGGTTATCACAGCTGGTTCGGGTTTATTCTGGGTATGATTTCGGAAGGTGCTATGTGGTTCTGCGGTCTTTGGTCTAAATGAACTGTAAAATTTCAGTTGTGTTGTATTATCGGATCTATAACAGATAGGGTGACGTGGGATCACCCCGGGTATATGCCTGGTAAGGCTGTTCAGTTCTTGGTTGGCTTCTAGGACAACTCTGAGCACGCTCGAGGACGAGCGTTTGTTTAAGTTGGGGAGGATGTGATGACCCGGCCCGCTGTCACGTGAGTTACCGCCCCGTTTCCCCCATATTATGTTGCTCTATGTTTCAATATCAGTATTTGAATGGATCGGATAGAAATGAATTGGTTTTAGTTGAAAATGAGGCACTTAGCCTCTTAGAAGAAAGCTTGTTTTGGAAAAGTCAACCGGAAGTTGACTATATAGTTAGAAAGCTCGTATGTGAATTCTGGTGATTCGGTTAGCTTCGGGGGATGATTTGTGACTTAGGAGTGCGATCGGAATCGAATTTGGAGGTCCGGTATAGATTTAGGCTTGAATTGGCGAAGTTTGAATTTTGGCGAATTCCGGTTGATAGGTGATATTTTGATCCGAGGGTCGGAATGGAATTCCGAGAGTTGCAGTAGCTTTGTTAGGTGATTTTGGATATGTCTGTAAATTTTCAGTTCATTCGGACGTTGTTTGGTCGGGTTTTTGATCGAATGTGCAATTCGGAAGTTTTTAAGAAACTTAGGCTTTGATTTGATGAAAATTGAGGATTTTGATGTTAACGATGGCGTTTTGATGATTCGAGCAAGTTTGAATAAGGGAATAGATCGTGTTTGTGCTTTTGGTTGAGGTCCCGGGGGCCTCGGGGTGAATTCGGGTGGTTGAACGAGAGAATTTGAAGTTGGAAGTTTTGCTGGTTTTGTTGCAGCAGGTATTTTCGCATCTGCGGAAAGGAGACCGCAGATGCGGCTTCGCGGAAGCGGAAGAAGCTCCGCAGGTGCGAAATGGTGAGGGTTCAGCAGTTTCCGCATAAGCGGAAGTATTGACCGCAGGAGCAGTATCGCGGGTGCGAGTTTTGGACCGCAGAAGCGGTCATGCCCCTTAAGCGAAAGTCCGCAGAAGCGGAAAGAGACCGCAGGAGCGGTAACCGCAGAAGCGGTTATGGACCGCAGACGCGGTCCTGGGCAAAATGAGGGATACCGCAGAAGCGGAAGAAAATCCGCAGAAGCGGAAGTCGCAGAAGCGACATTTGTATCGCAGAAGCGGAAGTAGGCCTCGACAGAAAAGGTTTTAAAATGTCATTTTGTTCCGCGAGTTAAGCTATTTTCCTCCATATTTGAACGTCCTTGGGAGCTTTTGCACGGGAATTTCAGAGGGATTCAAGAGGAATCGACGTGAGGTAAGAATCTTGGTCTTAAAACATGATTATGTTGTGAAATTGGTCTAGAAATTCATGGAAATTGAGCCAAAAATTATGAACTAGGGCTTGAGTTTTTGACAAATTTCAAATTGGAATTTGATAGGTCATTTGAGCTCGGATTTAGGAGTTCTTGGTATGGGTAGACTCGTGGCGAGACGAGGAACCCGGTAATGTAAGTTTTGTAATTTTTCGAGAAGTGGGCCCGGGGCTCGGGTTTTGCTAGTTTCGAGATTTTTGATATTTTTTGATTGTTTTCGATTGGGCATTGTTCCCTTAGCATATTGTAATGCATTTGCTCTGATTTTGGTTAGATTCGACGCGCGTGGAGGCCGAATTGAGGGGCAAAGGCGTCGTGAGCTAGAGATTTTACCGGTTCGAGGTGAGTAATACTTGTAAATGATATCCTGAGGGTTTGAAACCCCGGATTTGCACATCATAGTGCTGTATTGAGGTGACTTGCACGTCGGATATGAGCGTGGGGTAGAGCACCGTTGGGATTGTGACTTGGTCCGTCCCCGTTGTTGATTTTACTGTGTGATTGATTGAAACTTACTTGATACTATTATGATTTGGGCTGATTGCCGTGTTTGGGGCCTTGTGCCGACCTGTAGAATCCTTAGGGGATCTTTATGTGTTTTTCCTCACTTGTGTGCATAACATAAATCCTCAGTCATGTTTTCAAATATTAAGAACAATATAATAATTGTGTTTTATACATGAACCTTAAATGAAAAGGATATGAGGGCTGAGATCCCTATAGTATGTCACGCCCCATTGGCTGTGGACTTATTTGACTGAGATGGGTCGGGGACCCAGTGGTGAGGATGTTTCCTTGATATGATCGGGCTACACGCCGTAGCAATTATTATATATTGATATTGAGGCCGAGAGCCTGTTTTATGCCAATACCTGACTGATATTGCGCTTGGGCTGTAGGAGCCCCTCCGGAGTCTGTACACACCCCTAGTGAGCGCCGTCGACGTTAAATAAGTGGAGCGGGCTGCACGCCGCAGCGCGTACTAGAGTGTACCGTCATATGCATTGCATTGCATTCATACATTTGTGCACTATTTGTTGTTGTGTTATTTCTTGAGATATTTATTTGTTGTTCTGATATTGTCTGATCATTTTCAAAGTGGATAAATTTGAGACAGTGGTAACAGTGACACTGTATGATGTAAATGGATCAGGTAACAGTGGCTGACCAGAGATAAGAATATTGCCTGAAGGGCGAATTATGAGCTCAGTTATGCATACTTGTTTGTGCCCGAGGGGCTGGTTTTTGTGCTGACTTGCACTACGTGTTTTCACATTCATTTGCTTAACTGTTGGAAAAAGATATTTTCAAAAGAAGTTTTGAACTGAGTCAAGAAAATTTCTTAAGGATTCTTTTTTGCGTTTTCCCTGTTTTCTCAAAGGGTTACACTGTACTATATAGCATGTTGATTTGCTTTACGTGATTTATTGCTGCTCAGTTATTATTTACTCTTATTACCACTGAGTTAGAAGTACTCATTTTACTCCCTGCACCTCGCGTGCAGTTGCAGGTATTGTTCACCCGGTAGCGGGTTATTAGCGGACCGAAGGCCTTACTATGGTAGTTGAGCAAGGTGACCGCCAGCGTTCGCGGCACCGCACTTCATCTCTGAATTCCGGTTTTTATCTTGTATATATATAAATTATTGGCCCTATAGTAGTATTCCTATTCCTTAGATGCTCGTGACTTGTGACACCCCGGTCGGGCTGTATTGGGTTGTATTTATATTGATTAGTATCATTAATTCATATTCGAACTGTTATATAACTGATTAACTGCTTTAAGTGGTGTTCTGAAATGGTCTGGCTGGCCTTGTCTTCACGAGAGGCGCCATCACGACCGGGTTTGGGAATTGGGTCGTGACATCCATCACTCCAATCCAACGGCCAAGGTTTAGTATCAATATTAGATAATATTGTCTGAAACCCTTAGAGACCATTTTCACCTTCCTCGTACCCTTCGTCTTCATCGTTCATCATCAGCCCTGTAACGCCGCCGTGTTCCGCCGCCGGAAATCGCCTCACGGCGGCGGCCAACTTCCAATCACCCCCAAATTTTCACCATAGCCTCGTCTCCGTCTCCCCACTCCGAATCCACCATTGTTTTCTTCCAAATCCCAACCAAACGCTCCAAATCTGCAAAACCCTAGCCGCCGCCGGCGAACGCCGGTCATTCCAATGGCCACCAGAAAAACACCATAGATGCTCCTTCTTCTCCTTTTTCCAACCCCCATGGTCATTTCCCTCGAATCTTCCCCCATCTTGTCGAATAATCGATTGAATATTTTCGGCCAAAACACAAAGTATGCCAAACAGTCCCAAATTAACACCATGTGACCGCCTGAGCCTCCTCTACCTAATCCCCATAACCGTTTGTCTCGAATCTGCCTGGGTTTGCTCGAATCTTCATTTAAATTTTTTCGGCCAAAAACCCTAATTCAAAATCTTTGTGATTTCGGACCGTAATATCCCTAACCATGTGTTTTCTTATGAAAATACATGATTAGGGATGTTACGTGTCAGGAATTTTGGAAGATTCAAACATTAATGGCTGGCCGGAGCTTTCATCAGTAAGTTTCTAATTGTTATTTTTATTTCATTTTTATTTTTCTTTATTTCTGTTTATCTGCATGCCTGTTTTGAATTAATAGGTCTACTGTTAAGTAAATTGTTTTTCTGTTAATTAGTAATAGTTGTTAGAGTAAAGCATGATTAAAGGTGTTTCGTTTCATTAGTTTAATTGATAATAGTTTTTGATGAATTTGAGTCTGTGTTAACTCTGCAATTCGATTTATTTGATAGTTTTAATTTTATGATGTTTTGAATTTGCGGGACTGTTTGGGTGGGAATTCTGATTTTTATATTAGTTAGATGAATTGGTTATAGCTGAAATCTGATAGTTAGTTTAATTCAGTAATTGTATCAATAATTCTTTTAAGTTTAGTTTTCAATTCATTAGTAAGATTAGCTTAATTAGTTGGCATTGATTAGCTTAATCGATTGGGTTATAGATGATAATGGTAATTTGGTAAATTGAGACCAAGATCAAGGGTTAATAATTGCAAAATAGGTTCAGGGGTTGTGTTTGGGTTTGGGTAGTAATTTCAGGGAGTTTTAAGGGTAGTTTAGGCATGGGAAAAGGGTAGTTTTATTAGATTTGGTAATTGTATAAATCAGGCAAGGGTAGTTTAGGGATTTAAAGGGAATAGGAACATGATAGAACCTTCTAGGACATTCCAAAATAGGACTTAAGTGTACATTTCAGGAAGTTTAAGACATTACTTGGATAACAAGTTAAAAATAAAGGGACTAAACTGAAAATAATGAAGGACTAAAAGAGAAAAATAAAAAACTGAAGTTGCACCCTAATTTTGCCTATAAAAAGGCATCAACATGCCTTGTTTAAGAGGCTTTTTGATCTCTGAAAATTCCAAAATAAGTTTTGATCGCTGAAAATTCCCCAAAGTTTCAGCCCCAAAATTCCCCCGCCCCCACCCAAAAAAAAAAAACCTCTCTGCAAATCCTTAGAAGTTAAAATCCTTCCTTTAGATCTTAGATTCTACCCAGAAAAACCAAAAACAATAGAAATCCAATAGAAAAACCCAAAAAAAAATATAGTTACTATTCCATTGAAATTTTTATTTCCGGTAGTTCAAGGTCTGTTAATTGCACCTACTGATTTCGACTAGTTTTGGGTTTAATTGAGTTAATTGTTGAGGATTCAGAGGTCTACTGATTCAATTAATTTTGCTGGAATTCCTGATTCAAGTTCATCTGCATTTACTCATTTGTTTTGGGTACTGTACACTCCTGGGCTGTTGAATCTGTTGGACTGCATTTAGATTGCTGCTGACTACTTCGTTTTCATTTTACCTTTCAAATATTCAGGTACATGTTCTAAGCTTTCAAGTCTATGGAAATGAAGTAAAAGGGTTGTTTGAAGCTGATCTCTGAACTCCTCTGTTTTGCGTTGGTTTTTAATGTATAAATAATTTGCTTATTCGATATTTCATGACCTTTGTGTGGTAGATTGATCCTGGAATGTATAAACTGGACTGTGAATTGCTACCTTTCGGATTCAACGAATGTGTTTGAAGTTTCAGTTGTGATTAACTTTCCGTTAGCTAATTCATATATGTATTAAGAACTAGTTATGACTGATTTCATATATGTATCAAAGATAGGTTCAGTTTGACACTATTAGTCGTTATTTTCAGCTTGTTGTTCACTTAGTATAAATGAGTTGGTCAGGGTTTCAAATCTGCGTGAGTAATAAAATAAGATATCAACCTCATGTTTACATAACTAATTTGTAGTGACTTGGATTGCCTAACTCAGAATAAAAACAATTGGTCCACTTTGTGTTTGTAAATCACGTTATATTTAGGAGTTCACCTTAATAGTATCGGAGAATTCAAGCTAAAGTCAGTAGGTAAAATAAATGGAATTAGAATTCAGTCAACTAATGTTTAGTGCATTTGGACTCGTTGAAAGCAATTTTCAGTAGGTGTTCTCATTTATTTGGGCTATCAGATTTCCAGACGCCTTTGGGCCTTATTGCTTGAGTTGAAGGCCCAGGTCCTATCATAAGCATTTGTCAATTTGGACCTAGACCAAGCTTCATTGGTTTACCATCTGTTCAGTAATGTCAGGCCCAGATCACGGAAAAAGCATAATGAATTTTAGAAGTGGGGATCCAACGGTCCTGTGAAATAGGCTGTGAAAGCCCAGCTTGGGTTAATTACAAGATTCATTCTTAAAAGACATGAAATAGCCCTTGAACATTTAGTAGGAAATATAGGGACATTAATTTGCAAATGTTAATTTTGGTTTCGAATTAGGTAGCAGGTTTAAGCTAAAAGGGTCTTCCCTTTTGTTTGAATTCGGACTTGAATTCGAGGCCCGAATTTATATCTGTGAATTAATGGGCCTTTAGAGACAAATAAAAATAGAAAATTTTAGTTTGCTTTAGATGGGCTTTTTAATAATAAAATGAGACGAGCCTCGCCAAACTAAATAAAAATTGCGGGGCCCTCATTAATTATTTAAAAATATTTAGAAACGCGGGACGGGCCGTTTAGCAAATTTCACGGCCTTCCCAAAAGTAAAAATACGTTAGTCGCCTTAGGCGTGCTTTTAATAAATTTACCTTCCTAAATACGGGTGTGCATTTCATGCAACCCCAAATCCAAATCCAAAAACGTTGAATAGGAATGTGTCGAGGATCCGGGTGTATTTCATGTGACGTGGTCCAAAAACACGTTTTTAAACGACGTTCACTTTCTTTAAAAATAATTAAAAAGCGGTAAATAATTATAAAATTACACTATAGGTTGGAGCATGAAATAAAAATTAGATTTTAGCCATTTATAATAATTTAAGCGGCCGTGCTAGAACCACGGGGTCCGGGGGTGCCTAACACCTTCCCTCGGGTCAACAGAATTCCTTACACAGAATTTCTGGTTCGCAGACTCCAATTGGGAAGTCGACAATTTTCCTCGATTTGGGGATTTAAATTAAACCGGTGACTTGGGACACCAAAAACCAATCCTATCCCAAGTGGCGACTCTAAAAATAAATAAATAATCCCAATTCGAATAATGTCACTTTAAATGGAAAAACTCCCTTATACATTTATCTTTCGAGGTAGGTGTGTAAAAAAGGAGGTGTGACAGCGATCGACAAGTAATATAGTAGTAAGTAAAGTATCGTTCCCACGAGGAATTGTGATCAACTTCTCGACTGATATAGACTCAAACAATTATCAATTCAAGCTAAATTATCACAATATATATATATATATATATATATATATATATATATATATAGAACCAATTTACAAATTACTTAATAATTAAACAATAATTCAACACAAAATTACTACAACAATTACACAATATTTTGATAACAATTTGGATAAGGATATTCCAGGGTCATGGACTTGCTAGCGATCATGCTACTTTTCTAACTTACAATTGATTTATTGAATTGTCCGGGTTGTTGATTATAGAGTTAATAATATTCATAAGAATCTTTCGAGTTCTTATGCATCTGTTCAAGTTAAATCAATACCTATATGTCTATGGTATTAATATTAACAAGAATGCATTTACAACTCCTATTCTTCAACCAAACAAGGCAATTAAGTATATGTCTATCTTAATTGCAAATCCTTCACCCGATGCCCAGGATTCAAAACTTGTTCTATTTGATTCTATATGCAACCAAGAATTTCCTTTGTCAAGTTTAACTCAAGATTCGTAAATAATATTTCACTGTTAGCTACGCGGTAAAATAATAAAAAGCAGAATCAAATAAACAACCCATAATGATAAATTCAATATCTTCAATCTAAGCTTCAAATAACATAATCATCTAACATCCATGACCCCCGAATACTTGGGTTTTTAGCTACTCATATTCATACAAAAATCAACAATAAAAGTCTTAAACATAATATAAGTAAATACTAGAAGAAAGTTTAGAAGAACTCTTTGAATCTTTGCTCCAAGATGTTGTTCTTCTTTGATTTTCTTCTCTTCAAGAATGAGTCACCTTCTTCTCCTTCTCCCTAAAATCTCCTTCCCAATTCTCACTCAAAATCTCATCTCCTGGTAATAATGGAGGTTTACTTTTATTAAGTTGAGTGGATCCCTTCAATTTTCCCATTTTACCCCTCAATAATACATTTCCCGGACAGAAACGCGCGAAGTATCGCGCGAACAATGAACTTCGCGCGTTTCTTCGCGCATCTGGGACTGTTTCAGCTTCTTAAACGCGCGAACTAGCGCGCGAACGTTGACCTTCGCGCGTCTGGGAATGTTTGTCTTCCATTTTCTTGTCTCGTCTTTGCACGGACTCAACTCCGAGGGGTTGTTTTTGCTCATAAATCATTTAAATCACCTTTTTTTCAAGCATCGTGTAAGCTCCTCCTCTTGCAAGGCATAAATCATGAATTTAGTACAATTCATAATCATTTAAGCTCAAACATTTGTAAAATGCAATAATTAAAGTGTTGTTACAACGACTAAAAACACGAGTTTTTAGCCTATGATCAGTGACCAACTTTTGCAAAAACACCAGTTAGTTGGAAGTCTACTTTGCAGTCAACGATTGCTTTGTCTACAACAGAGGCAGAGTATATGACTATTACAGAGGCTGTGAAGGAGGCAATTTGGCTTCAAGGGTTGCTAAAAGAGCTTGGTGTTGAACAAAAAAGTATCACAATTTTTTGTGATAGTCAAAGTGCTATTCAATTAGCAAAGAACCAAGTTTATCATGCAAGGACGAGGCATATTGATGTTCGGTATCATTTCGTACGAGAAATCATAGAATAAGGTGGAGTCACGGTGAAGAAAATTCATACTACAGAGAATCCTGCTGATATGCGGAGAAAAGTGGTGACTGCGATCAAGTTTCAACATTGTTTGGATTTGATCAACATTGTTGAACACTGAAGATTGAAGATGAAAACACAACCAAAATTTGTTATAGAGAGAAAATTGAAGATGTGGAATTTTGCCAAGGTGGAGATTTGTTGAAGTTTGGCAAAGTCCCACATCGGTGGGTTCTTGATTTAGTTTGGGAATTTTTCCCTATAAAAAGAGGCCTAATGTTTAGGATTTAAACACACCTCTCATTTGCCTTCTTATCTTCTTAAGGCATTTGTATCTTCTCTCTTTAGTATTATTTCACTTGTATTTTTTGGAGTGGAATAAAATATTGGTTGTGTCCGAGAAGTAGGCAAAATTAGCCGAACCTCGTAAATTCTGGTGTTCCTTTTATTGTTGTTTTATTGTCTTATTTATTATTTGGTGGCTGCCATAATTTTTGGTATAGTAGTTTTGACTTATTCACACTAATACATTTGGCTTCCGCAACACGAACCTCCTATCATTTGTATACCAACTTGCCTCTGGTGCAGCCCCGTATCATTATCATTTACTAAACCAGAGTTGATCAGCCTGTTTATTGTTGAGAGCAGCCAAGAATGTTCTTCCTGCTGACGGAGAGAAAGTTCTTCCTGTTGACGGACAGAACACTGGATTTACAAAGTTTAATTGTCAGTTATAGATTTGGTTTTAGTAGAGGAACAATGACGAGGCTACCTGCATGGACATTGGACCCGAGTCGGTTATATAGACTGCAGGCCCAACATTAACTACGGCATTACTCTAAAAACAATAACAGGCATGGTCATGTTATTAAGAGAAAATAATCCATTTAGTAGAGAGCAAATTAAGTATAATACCCCATTGTCACCCATTCGGACTCCCATCACTGTGCGGCCAAGTTCAAGAAAATATGCACCTAGATTGCTGAACATTGTTCCGATTGTTGTCTGTGCATTTGACTGGGTTCCCTGGCGCACCCTCGGATCACCTACGTTCAGATTTTGGCTCAGATGCTGCTGCAATTCCTATGCCAACAGAAAATCCAACCAGTCAAAAAATTTCGGCTGATCTTAGAATAAATTATTACAAGTCTTGCGTAGGGGCGTCCAGAAGGCAACCAGAAGTAAGAAATAACAGTCATTCTTTTCTTTCACAAATCAAGCAAATGAAAATAGACGACGCTGTCAATGATATTCGCATGCATCCACCAAAATCCACATCCATTTAATGTCTCTCGTCCTCCTCTCTCGACCACTCTTTTTATTTCTTTGTATAAATTATTGTATCCTTTTTCCCTCTAGTACATTTCATCTTAATTTGAGGGACATATGTATATACCTAACGAACAAATATCCAATCCAGCTATGCATATCGTTGAAGTCAATAAACAACAAAAGAATTATTTACAACTATGCGTACCTTTTCTAAGAAATTGTCGTTCTTGGAACTCAATGATCAACTTAGGAATTATTACCACTATATACTGATCTTTTCTAAGAAATAGGCCAACGACTTAAAGTTGTTTATTATTATGGTTTCGCCACTCTTTCCATTTATTACACTGACTCCTCTCACTACTGGAGAGCTTATGGTTTCATTTTTGGTGAGATGGTTACTTATCATGGAAAATAGGAAATCAAGTAATTATATCAGGGAAAATATCAAATGACACGCGTCTGCCAGACTGCAACTACTCACAGTCCATTACAATCGAAGAACTTCTCCGCTTCAATAGTTAATCAAACATAAGCAGGAGCAAGCACTTACAAGAAAGCGCTGTGCAGTTTGGTTAATAAGCATATTCCTAGTGGACGACAGCAGTCTTGCTAATTGTTCTACTTCTGCAATTCCTTGTGAAGGAGTGGAAGTATTGGATGCACTTCCGAGTACCTCATTCGTATTGTTTTCTGTTCCTGATTATAGAAAATGACTTATCCAGATACCTCTAAAGTGACAGGAAAACATAAAAGAGGAAGAGAACTGACCGTTCATACTATATTCTCGTCTCATTATGCTGAGATATTGTGATAAACATTCTATAGAGTTAGGGATTTCCTGCAACAATCAGACTGTTATACGGTACTTTTGTACAACCTAAATTACAAATTCCAAGAAGATACTACTATAATATTTTGAACTGCAGAGACAACCCCCTCAATATTACGTTTTTGCGGAGGATGCATACACACAAGCATATTGAAGAACAAGAACTATAAGGATGGTCAGTACGATAAATTGATAATATGCAAATGAAATCAGCTGTTGAGTATCTGGAGAAATCTCATCAGTAGCAGCTGAGGTGGAGCAAGTACAAGTACAACAGACAGGAGTAAGTAACAGCTAGCTCAAATTAGGCATTAGAACACGGTGAGTTAACTGAATAGAAATGTAAGATACGAAGTATAATCTTCTTCGGCTAGAATAGAGAGAACTGATCATGAGCCGAAGGTCAAATGCATTAAAAATATTTGAGAAGTATTAGTTGGTTTTGAAATTTTCTACTTCACTTGCAATACAAAAGAAATTAAACAAAGAACAACCAGTAAACAATTTCTAATGGATATTTAGGAGGAGATTGTATACAAAACTTCTCAACCAACATCATATATTAAAGAAAGCTCATTACCAAAGGATGACGACATGCTCTGGACAGTGCAAACCAGGTGCAAAGTATCACCATGTTGAATATCTAATTAGCGTTAAGACTCCAATGGGGAAAGAAATAATAAGAGCAAAGAGACACAGGAACACTACTTTGAGAAACTACTGTGGTAGTAAGCAAAATTACGAAAGGAGTTTAAATTATACTATACTAAAGATGATCATACATAAAGTGAATAAAAAGGATACTGTATGAAGAAATGAGGTCATCATCCTGTAAGACTTTTCCACAATAGATCAGACGCTGTTGTTCCATCGGCATCCCAATCAAAAGAGATACGTGTTCTTTCAAATTCCATACTCTCCTCTGCATGACACCACAAATGGAGATCAGCACATAACCAAGAACCTTTTTAGCGATTAAAAAAGTGAGGATGCATGCATAAACTATGTGGTTGTGCAAGCAAAAATCGCATGGTTTAGTATCAAACACGCACAATTAATATATCACACAAATATCTTTTACTTAATGAAATAGGTAACAGTTCAGAAGTTAATATCAACAAACAAGTACCTGATTGCCAATGCGCAAATTGTGGGTTTGAGAGTCCATAGTTTTTACTTTTATCTCAATCATTGTATCAATTCCTTCAGATTTATAGCCCTCAGAAGCTTCACCAGTGCGAGTCATTTCCTTTCAACAGCTTAAGCACCTGAAGCAGGTAAAAGTTACAAGATTTTAGTGTTTCTCGATTGTTATGCGTTCAACATGCAGACCAAGATAACGGGGACTACCAGTTGACTATGAGATCCATCCTCAACACCGAAATGAGAGCAGAAAAATGAAAATGAAACTTAAGAAGCAAGAACCGAAGAGAAAGTAAATACTTTTTAGATACAGATAGCGTAAGTACGTCTAGAGGAGAATAATATAACGCTTGCAACTACCCAAAGATAAGAAGCCAAATGAGTAGTTAACAAAAACAATTATATTCCATATATGCGATTTTTGATACTAGTTACGGTAATGGAAACTGTTCAGAACTTGAAATTTCTATAGTTTTATAGATGAATGAATTTGCAGTAACGAATAGCGCCTTGTGGATTACTCTGTTTGTGGAATCGAAATAAATCACTATCTAAAAGGAATTAATGAAGTTTCTTTACAAGAAACAAACTGAATACCTACCAATCTAAAGCACTAAATTTGTTTTAACAAGAAGACATATTCATCTAAACAAAATTTTTGCATGACAGTATGTATTCAGATTAAAAAGAGGTAAAAGCGAGTAAACTAGATTGTACTGCTGGATTTGGAGCAACGACTAGTAATAGGTCAACGTGAATGAATATATATGGGAAGAAACAGTCGGGCTCATTATATCACAAAGATCATATAAAATTCATTCTGATATATTTTGCATTTTAAATTGACAAGGTTACAAGATCAGCACCACTAACAAAGTAACATTTTAAATACTCACAATAGTAAAAATCGAAGGAAAGCTTCAAGAATACCAAACAGTGCTTCGATAATTCAAATCCAACTATCAAGAAAACAACCAATTGATGAAAGTTATTTCATTATACGGCTTAGATCAAATGAAATTCATTTCCCAAAGGGTGCAACACGTGATGTGTGGGTTAGGCACCTTGACATCGACAACAACATGATATTTAAGTGGAGAAGGATAGAGGAGCGGGCCCATATTTTTCGAACCTTGCGCCACTGCCCCTCGGGATATCTCTATTACTAAAAATTGCTAAATTCATATAATCTTTTAGCACATGCATGATGCATTTGTAAAATAATTTTCTTGAAGAGCTCAACAAACTAAGGACATTACGGATTGAAAAAATTCAAAGAAACACCCAAAATTTTATCATCCAAATAAGGACATTCCCATATATGGGGGATTTTGATACATAAACTGAATGTATGTAGGGGCTAGAAATCAAGACTTCAAGAACTCCAAAAACAAAAAAGATTCAGATAGAAACCAATAAAACTAAAAGTTGATCACTTAATTCACTGAAAAAAAGATAAAATCAATTGCTTCATCTTCATTCTTCATAGACCTTACTAGTTACTCCTAGCGCAAGTCTTTAGTATACTATATGTGGATTATTCTCTTTTTAGCTTAACTTCAGTGAATTGTCTTTTCTTTTTTGCTTAACTCTAGATTGAGTAATCTTATCGGGTAAAACGATAACCGAACCGATAATGTTCGATAACCGATTAACCGATACCCGATAACCGATATCTTATCGGTTTTCTTATCGGTTTATCAAATTTGTAAACCGATAATCGATATGCTAAACCGATAATATTCATAACCGAACCGAAACGACTGATGCCCGCCCCTAATCGTTTTTAAGGAACATAGTAATTTCTACACTCTATTTTTTGGGAACGCAACGCCTATTTGCCCTAAAAATATCAATCCTACATATTCGGTTCTTCAATCCCACGATCTCTCTTCAACTCCTTACTCACGAACTCTACTGCGGTCCGTTCTTAGTAATATGATTTCACAGTTTTGTCAAATCAATTTTCTATTTTTATAGTATATAGTTCTATTCTTTCTTCCTCGTGTGCATGTCAAACAATAATTCTGGACTACAAGAGGTGATTGGTATGATTTGTATTTCATGAACGATATTTCAATTTCTGTAACAGATAATTAAATACAGCTCTCTTTATTATTCTAGTTGAGATTGTATTTCTGTAACATATATTTTTTGTAAAGTTTGTTGACGGTGTATATCATATAAAAAAGATCAAATTTTTATAATCTATATGCGTATTTGCGTATTGGTTATCACTGATCTTTGGAATGTGTTGAAATTTTGTATAGGAGGTTAAGTGTTCATTATGTATATGGTACTACTTTTATTTGCTAAAATATCTATCTATATTTGCAGGCAATTACTCTATTTAAATTGTACAAGTTACAGGAAGATGGACTATCAATATCATTTCACTTTTCATTACTAAAGAATCGATGTTGTTGTTTAGAGAACAAGTTGCAGAGTACTGGAAAAAAGAAGAAGCCATATGACTAAAAGAAAAATCCATCTTGTTAAGTGGGAAACAGTTATGCTCCCTAAAGCGATGGGGGAATTGAGGATCCCAAAATCTAATGGCAAAAATTCAGCTCTCCTTTCTAGCCTAACTTAGCATTTCACTACAAATGCTAACCAACTTTGGGTTAGAGTTTTAAAAGAAAAATACCAGTCAGAAGTGGTGGAATAAGAAGTGGAATTACACTACAAGAATGACTTCACTATATGGTAGGTGTCACAGGGGTGATTTATGTCACTCGAATTCCTGCCCGAGTTTCACCTCCGTGCGGCAGTCAAGCCCAGCCTTGACTTCAGCCTTTCCAACACTTAGTATTATTTTAGGGACGTTTGAAACTTAGAATGAAATAGGCAGCAAAAACAGTAAATAAAGGCATACGATATACAGGAATTTCTTCCAACTAGTATTAATAAGTGAATACAAGAACACAATAGCCAACCCTATGGCCAAAGACAAAGAATTCCCTAATTCCCTGCCCCAGAATTATTTTCCCACCCTTAGGAAATGACTTAGACGATTTTTGGCTACACAATGCACAAAAGCTAAGTTCTGCCCCGTTTTTGGCACCCTAGGCACATATTTATAAGGCTACAACCAGTTGACAAGCCCCAACTGATGGGCAAATAAATTTAGGACAATGTAAAAAACGTGCCCCCATGTTTTGGGTCCATGATCAGCATGTCTTGGAAGAGGTTGCAACTGGTGCCCAACAC